AGACGATATCTTTGTGTCTAACCTCTGCTTTTGGCCAGGTTTACAACAGTCCAAATGACGTTTAGCGGTTCACTGGCCAAGACTCGAAACCAGACCACATGCGTGGTTGGTGGTTATTGTAACACAGAACCAAACACGCGGGCTGGTGAATAAGTTAATCTTAGTTTAATTCCTAAAATAGATTTAAGAAAGCAATATATTGCGGTATCGACTTTCTCTTAATACAGGACAATACTCGACAAGTATAACGCTTCTATCCTGACACATTGCTTCATCAACTGTGATTTCGGGGTCAAAATTTTATCCTTTCAGTATTTGTCTTTTATTTCTTCATGTTACGGAAAACCATTTTAATAAATCCTGTAAAATCTTTGCTGGGATGATTTTTTCAGTACACTGTTCTGAGTAATCAAGCGACAGAAAAGCTACCTAGCTGTGCCACTTATATGTGTATCTACAAATTTAGCTGCTCCTGTGGAGAGAGCTACGTAGGGCGAAAAACTAGACAGCTCAACAAACGTATTAATGAGTATCTTCTTTCATGGTTTGGAAAAGGCCAAATAAAATATATATGAAGTTCTATTTTGACTCATTTGATTGATGATAGAGGTCACCAAGTGCACAGAAGTAGTGCCTTCAAAGTTATCTATCGCATTAAGAATTTGAACCCACCTTTTACACATAGCCGAAGCTATGGGAATTAATACGAGAGAACCATCCTAGCCTTTGCATACAACAAAAGAAGTTTGTTCTACCTTTGTTTCTGCCTTGCTTCGCCTAGGTAAAGTCTAATTAAAACCCTCCCATCCTTTCTTATTTTCCATTTCCTTCATACTTTTATGATAATTATTTAAGCTATGATTATCTATCCACTTCACCTTTAGTATTGCGTAACTTTTGAGATTTGAGCTAATTTATTTATTGAATTGTCTACATATACACATACCTTTGTTATTTTTTAATGTCAACCGGCATAAACCTTACTATCATTATTTTGTTACCATTATAATCGTCGTTATTATTGACGTTCAATTACTATTACTATTATTTTCATTATTATTATTATTTGATCAACAAAGTCACCGTCTTTGGTTAAAATTGTTATATATAAATCCATGTAAATAAGATTAGAGTAAATCCTGAAGAAGATCTAATTGAGAACGACAATACTGTTCGCTTATATCTCTTGTTCTAATATTAATAATGGGAATATATGAAGTACTCTTTACATGTTTGTTAGTTGCAAGAGCCTGCAATACACCTCAGCTGTGCTTCGCATGTTATGGATTTAGCTATCCATGTTGAGTTGAATTGTTGTTTGTAAAAGCTATCCATCCTTTTTGACATAGATTCATACCAATGAAGATTTTATTGATTAAAATGAATTTATAAAACACAAAATAATTGAGCAAAGAATATTCTTTTCGATAAATTCCTCTTCTGACTCTACAATTATAAATATATATATGTTTATATACATAGAATATTCTAAATTAGTAGTCAATAACAACATTAGAGTTTTTTAAATAATATCGATTTGTAGAGTATGATCAATGCAATGAGGTAAAAAGAGAATTCCCTGCTGCTGTATCTTTTAAACCACCCCTATTTTGCGTTCGAAAGTAAAAGACAAACTGCCTAATTTCGCCTTTTCCATGTGTATCTACCAATTTAACTGCTCCTGTGGAGTCAGCCGGTTACATAGGCCGCACAATTAGGCATGTTTCTCGTCGAATTTCCGAACATCACCCTGCATGGTTGGTTAAGCAAAGGACAAACAAAATCTATTTGCAGCACTATTCTGTCTCATCTTGTGGATACAGAACACAACATTCATGTCAACCAGGTTTTCAAAGTCATTTACCGCATACCTACGAACCTCAATTCTGCCTTGAGAGTTCGACTACTAAACATTGTTGATGCTGTGGGGATCCATATTAATAAGCCTAATTTATGCATCCAAAAGAAGTTAGTTCAGACATTATCGTTACCTTGGCCATTTAGATTTGAATGATCATGAATTTTTGTGGAATTTTCCTAATTTTAGTTGATATTCTATTCGCATCTTCAATAAGCTGTGGTAATTCCATCGTGATCTTACTTTACAAATCGATATTATTTAAAAAACAATAATATTGTTATTAACTACTAATTTAAAATATTCTCTGCATATAAAAATATCTATAATTGTAGAGCCAGAAGAGGAGGAATTTATCGAAAAGAATATTCTTTGCTCGATTATTTTGTGTTTTATAGATGTCTGAATGAATATTTTTGCGATATTAAAATGAATTTCCACGGTTATTTAACGCAGGGAGGAAACGCTGATCACTTTCAGCCAGAAATTTACTGAAGCTTCTTATACTAGTATCGTTGAAAAATTATATTATTCACTTTCTCTTGTATCACATTAAAAAAATATATTCTCTGGTATTTTTAAAACCTGATACACCTCTTGAAAATATTCAATGTTATTTAATTGAACATAGATTCAAGGGAGGTTGAGTCTTCTTCAGATTTACTGTGTACAATGAATATAGCTCTATATACATATACATACTAACTCCATATATTCAACATATGTACCTCGTATACATATGTGTGAATGCGTGTGTTTGTTTGCGTAATATCAGTAATCAGTACTGAAAAGTGTGTCTTGTAAAGAATTTGCTCATTTATCTCTCTCAATTCATTTTGTTTGCTTCTGTTGGTTATATATATTTTATTTCTACTCTCTCTCTTTAATTTTCCAACTAGGGAAAATTGTCTGTTATCCAGGTCATTCAATATTCAACGCAAAAGTTTACAAAATAAAATTTATAGAGAGTAAACACACACGCACACACGGGGTATAAACAGAGTAACAGTATTAATGAAAGTAATAATAATAGTTGTAATAATAATAATAATAATAATAAAAGTATTAACAATAACAGTAGTGACTTCAGTGAACACGAATGTATTGAGTGAAAAGAAAAAAAAAAGTATAAAAATATTTATTTATGTTTGTCCTTTTTTCATTATGTTTATTAATTCGCTTGTATTCATATTTCCTTGATCACTTTATCAACTCAATGAAAGTGACAAAGGAAGAGAGTAAGAGTGAGAGTGAGAGTGGGAGAGAGAGAGAGAGAAGAGGAGAAGTACAAGAGTCGATCAGAATCGCGTTGTTTTAGTCGAATAGAGTTATTATTATTATAATCTGGTTCTGGTTGAATTATACATTTCATTCAAAATCAGGAGAAGTAATTATATCGATGAATTGAATTCTACCGTTAATTATAGACTGTGATTAACCTTCATTTAGATGATTAATTAAAAGAAAAGCTAATATTGCCTTACTGAAAATTTGTCTGATTAATTACTCAAATAATTTATCCTATTGACATACGACTAATAATAATATTATTATGTATTCAAACGGATTTGTTTCTTTGAATTCCTTTTTGAAGTATTGGTTTTTCTAGGGATTTAGCTTGATTGGTTGAAGGATTTCATCATGAGCTGACATCAGTTAGAGAACCACTGCAAAACCACCCCAGGCAGTAATGGACAGCCACTTGTTTCTTTCCAGTTTGGGACTCTTCATCAGCAAGCACTCACCTGGTTTGGAACCCAGAACCTTGTGGTTACAAGGCGAGCGAGCTAGTACACCATTAAGCCACTGAGAGACGTTGCAATGGCTCATGATGAAATCCTCCAACCAGTCAAACAAAATCCCCTATCAAACCAATAGTTGAAAATTCATCTGATGCTCACTAGCGACTGGCCCCATTCAGGCAGTTAACCTGGGCTTCCAGTGAAAAGCCGTGACCAGGAGGGTGCAACAGGTTGAAGGCAAGGCAGTAATTCATCGAAGAAGACATTGTGAAGTGGTTCACTATGTCATGAATTGGCAGAATTCAGAATTCATGAGGCGGCCATTGGACTGGCGTGTGCCAGTGGCTTAATGGTCTATGAGGTTGCTCGCCTTGTGACCAGAAGGTCCTGGTCCTGGGCTGGAACCCTGTCGGCAGGTGAGTACTGCTGAAGAGTCCTCTTAGAATGTTTTATTTTATGCTCCAGTTCAAGATTGTATATGAAGAAGCATTTCTATTTCATTAGTGGTTAAATGTATTCTGAGTCGGTGTGATTCCTTCGTTTCATTTCAATGATATAAGTGGACTCTTCAATTAACGTATTGATTAATCTGTTGAATCAGAATACATTCTTGTCTAATGTCTTTGTGCTAACTTCAGATTGTAAAATTGTTAATTACAGGGTAAAATTATGGAATTCTTGTTAGTGCTGCACAGTCACTGGCAATTTAATGAACATATACAGCAAAAACTGATCACAGAGTTTATGATTTTTAACATGTGATATATCTTAGAAGACTGAACATTAAAGTAGGTAAAGAAGCAAATTTTGCCCCCACTATTTCGTGAATTAGGAGCAGTTAGAATTCATTGGTTGGTCATTTGATCAGGTCCCAGTGGCTGACGAATGGTCTATGAGCTAGCTCGTCTTGTAACCGAGAGGTGCTGGGTTCGAAGCCCTGTGGTGGGAGCGTACTGATGAAGAGACCTAAACTAGAACGAGACAGTTGTCCAGTACCCCCAGGTTTTCAAATGGTTCTCTAACCAATTTGAGCTCATGATGAAATCCTGTAACTTATTAAGCCATTTTTGAGTTTCATATGGTTATAATTACGCAATAAGATGGAAAACATCTTTTGATACCTGATATCTCTTTTCTCAAAATGGGACAAAATATTTCGACGTGGATCTCGTCACGCATTGTTAAAAATCCTGAAAGCTGTCATGGGACAGTTATCCATTGTCGCCTAATTCCCAATGATTCTCCACTGTGGTGTTTGTTAGTCAAGATATCTGCAGTGAAATTAATCGAACCTTCACACACAAACCTGATATCCCATTATATACAACATACATTCTCAAGATATTTCATTGCTCATTTCCCACTATTTCTGAAATTTTCCTTTTTTTATTACTTTACAGAAAGCTGAGGACAATGATTCTATCTCCGCACTGGGGTAAGTTCCTTATTGACTATCGATTTTTTTCATTCCTTCCCTTTATGAGTGAAGCATAGGATCTCATGCCTTGAAGTTCTGAGTAGCAGCAGGGTTGTTTTTCTTAAGTGTGGGATTGCTAACCGCATGACTAACCTTTCCTGTAATCCTGGCCCATTACTGGCTGGTTACTTACCTGCTTTACTTCGGCTATCTCCTACGGGAGGATGAGCCGGCTTCATGAACATCTCGAATCATCGCTGCCCAGGCGCGGCGATCTGATGCAAGGTTTGGCGACAGGGTTATCCAATTCTTGTTCCACAGACGGAGTCCGTACACTGTCTGTAGCCCCAGGCACTCCATATCAGCCTTGACTGTACCAAGCCATGTTTTCAGCTGTCCACCCCTGCGACATCGCCAAGATGGTAATGGCGAGGGATTTAGAACTGATTTGACCAGATCGTCATCTGGTCGGCGCAGAACATGGCCAAACCACCGAAGGCGACGTTGTAAGAGAGTTCATGAAGTTTCATGGGAATTTGGTACGAGTGATGTCCCCAGAATCGCTCGGCCTTTTGTTTGAGAGTGCAGCTCTAGCCTTTACACAACCAAGTGTGACCTACAAGGCAGTAGGAGTGGAGTAGGGAGTACACTATCCATTGGCAGCCGGTGACCGGAGTTCGGTTCATACGTCTTTTTGAATGGGGCCAGACATCCAGGACATCCAGCAAGCTCTTTGTCCATACGTCTGCCGGTGAGCTCCAGTGAGCTTCATACGCCAGTCGTTGGAGGTTTGGAATCAGGGTTCAGCCATCTCCCCTAGACTGTCATCCAATGGACAGTCAACCCAGTGAAGAGCGCCGGGCATCCGCTTTCGCCCTCTCACTTTGGTGAAAAACACCTCCGCCACGTGAAGGCAGTGAGTAGGACTTCCTCAGGAGAGGCTATGTAAGATGCCCGGTCATATGGGAGCATTTCAAGAGGTGTGCGGAGGGGTGGCTAACCCGCAGCGCAAGGCACCCACTCCCGACCATCCTCAGGCTTTGGAGGCTGGCTGACTAGATGAATTTTAGGATTGTGTCAACCGGTAACAGAATTGGAGCCTCCTGTGAACATTATACCATTGAAACAGTGGTGCATTATTTATTGAGAAATTTAAGGAAATTTTAAGTCTTATATGGTAATGAACAGTCCCAACATGACAAATAGTGTGTTTAATACACGGAAGGCTTCTCTAGCCAAAAATGAGATTTGCTGAACTTCACAGACATTTTAAAACTGAACTGATTTACTGATAGAAGAATAAAACTTGTGTACTGTGGTAGAGTACAAATCCATTAGAGGTAAAATTTGTTTTGATAAAGTCTCACAGCGTTATGCACTAAGTAATATTTACTGATGACCATATTTCGAGCACAATTTATTACCACTCATAATCATATCTAGACACTAATCACACAACTTTCTAACTTTATTTATATAATTCCATTATTTTCCATCGCTTGATTTGATTGGTAGTAGTATTTTCCATATTTCTGATTAGAGTGATGAGTCATTCCCATTGCATGTGTTTGGTGTAGACTCGATGAACAAGGATTCAGTAATCAACCTCTCTCTTTCTGCATCTAGCTATATTACATTTTAGAACTTCAACCCTCTCCCACCCTATTGTGTGGTAGTGTGTTAATGCATGCAGCGCATTCTCTGAGCTTTTTTCTAAATTACTTATCTTCGTGGGATTAATCATTCTAACCTTAGCTAAATTCTAATGTTCCGACAATATGACTACCCCCGACCTCCTAGTCTGACCTATGAAGCTGATTTAACTCACAGTGATTGCAAGGTATTTTGTAAATCATAATATTTTGTCTAATTGGGTCAACCTACAGGGTCTTTTAGCCTACAGAGGTTGTCCTACCCGAGTGAGTTTGTAGGTTTCAACGCCACCCTAATTCTTGGTTTATTAAGAATCCTACGTAGGGAGGGTCTCAGATGTCCCCTCCTTATATGGTATAACGTTTCATCCTCTATTGACAGAACAAAATGGGTGATCAACCTCTCATCAAGGGAACTAAGCTCTAGTGAGATAAAAGTACTTCAGAAAGGTCTAAATTTCAACGTAACAGTTAGTAAATTAAAACCAGAGGTTGTCATTTCTAACATAGAAGTAGCACTAAGTTCAATAGATAAGACGACAGCGGAGGAGGACCGAGAACAATGGGCGTTAACCCTGAAAAATCAAAAGAAAGCAAAATCAAACTTAACGAAATCGGGAAGACTAGCTCCAATTAGTCTAAAACAGGATAAAAACATCGTCATCGCAAAAGCTGACAAAGGAAACTCTACGGTAGTTTTGGATAAATCTGACTATATCAAGAAAGTCACTGAACATATTGAGACGGGTCCATATGAGGAAATTAAAAAGCCTGTAGATACAATAATGAATAAGGTTAAGAAATCTACAGTGACATTAATACGCAGAATGAAGCCGTCACTGGGTGAGTCTAAATGGTTTAATTTAATGCCTAAAACTAATAATGCTAGTAGAAAGTATGGTACTATTAAAATACATAAGCCAGGTTACCCTATACGACCAATAGTAGATTTCAGAAATACCCGTACTTATGAATTATCAAAACACTTAGCTCTAATATTATTACATTTTCACACCGTCTTCACACTTGTTAAATTGACATTCAACTACCTTTATTCTCACTCAATAGTAATTTTAACCTTATCGAATTTCTAACTTTGTGCCGTCGTTGAGTACCACGTAATTTACAACTTTTATTTTTTACTTCTAAAGCCACATCGAAGTAATTAGGCCAATTTGATTTATTTTATTACCAGTTCGCCTAAGTACCCATCGGTCACAGAGCCTAAGATACTTCTTCTATATTCACACGACAGCTTATTCAGATCACTAGAAGCTGTCACTGTTGGATAGACCTAAACAACCGTCTAGTACTCTCTGACTTCTAGTGACTCCCTGACTATTTTGGTACACAACTAAATCTACTTTGAAACCGGGCATTATTTATCTGAAACGCATTATGTATTTGAGAGAAAAAAATGTTGTACATTCTAATCACACATTTCTACTTGCCGTACACACTTTTCATATATATAAGCTAATAAAACATGAACTATCAAAGTTTTATCACTATAGGTCATAGTGTGTACTACTCAAGACCTCATATAAGAGGTAGAAAAATGAAGTAAGAATTAAGACGGTGAAAAGTTAGAGCTTCAACGAATTTAAGTATGACACTTAAACCTCTTTCAAATATGGGTTTAAAGGCACCATTGAAGTCAACTCCATCAGCAGCCTGTATAATGTGCCTTGTGATCGATTATGTTGGTCATCTGTTTCCAGGGTCGGCTGAATTAAGCGATTTTATTTACTGTTGTAGATACGTAGAAATGTATTGTGTAGTGATAACCCGTTGAGATTGATGGCTCCTCTCTCTCTTTCTGTTAGTGAGTACATACATGAGAAATATCTCTAAAATAACAGCTAGAATACTGAAACGGTTTGATATAGATATAGCATACAAGCCAGTCAAATCACTTAATTCGATATTGTGCACACTGAAAGATCCAAGAGAAAAAGGAGATAAAATGAATACCATTTACAAAATAAATTGTATGAACTGTAACAAGCATTACATCGGCCAAAGTGGGCGTCACCTTCGAATTAGAATCCAAAAACACAAATCAGCCGTGAAAAGACACGATATGTATTCTTTAGTATCAATCCATATAGACAATTATGGACATCAATTTGATTGGGATAATGTCGAAATCTTAGACAGAGGAAACACCAAAAGTGCCAGGGAATTCCTGGAAGCCTGGCACTTAAGCGAAAATGCAATTAACAAACACGTTAATATGGACGAAATATACCAACTAATAAAAAGTAAATCATGTGACGAAAAGGTTTAAAATCCAAGTCAATAGAAAATGATTAATACATACGTAAAGATGGTTACCAGGAGACGCAATTATATCACTCATGAAGAAATTTAAATCACTTCACTTTATGCTAAATATTGCGCTGAAGATGTTGTCCAGCAGGGGGACGACAAAAGCTCCGCAACCGAACCAACCAGCTCAGAGAGCACTATCGATTGCAAATCATCCACCTGAACTACAAATCTTCTCCGTTATATGTGTGTAAATCGGTAAACACAATAGGATGAAAATAAGACCAAACGGTTAAGCGAAGAGATTCTTCTCGTCACATTTATTCACCTAACTATACAATCGTTATTATAGGCGTGTGTACATTCAGACTATGCAAATAGCCCAAGAATTATTTACCTATTTATTATCGCATTTGTTAGTTTAAGGTTAATTGACTAATTAGTTTACAAGCGTTTAAATTAGGCGGGAAGATTATCTTAGATAGCTTCAGGTTGACAAACTGTTATATAAGACATATCGATAGATGCTGATTAATTAGGATTACGTCTGAATTGTGATTAGTTTGATTCGGTTTTGTTTCTTCTTGCATTCCGACTGAAACAGTCAGTATCAAGCTTAAGATTATGAAATTTCAGTAGGCAGTAGCATCATTAGCTTTCAGGGTGTCCAGTTGGTAGACTAAAAAGCACAACCTTCTTTTATTCGAGTTTACTATAGGCGAGTAAACTAACCGTTGTTAAGGAGTGCGTTCGTTCGCCGTGTGAACTGAACTCGGACCACGTGCGTAGCTAGCGGAGATTATACCATCGAACCTCCGACTCACCGATCAATTATTAAAAAGAAACATAACTGCAAAAGTTTCAGGATTTCATCATCACATGACATCCGGTAGAGAAGCATCACAAAACCTGGGAGTAATGGAAAGCTGTTTCGTCTTGGTCGATCTGGACTCTTCATCAGCACGCACCCACCAAAGGGGTTCGAACCCAGGACCTTCTGGTTACTAGGCGAGCACGTAGACCATTAAGCCACTGGGAAATGAGCCAGCAGGTCAGGTGTAAGGACAAATACTCGCCACCAGTAGCTCTATATCGTGAATTGGTAGAAGGTGGAATTCATGGGCTGGCCATTGGATCAGGTCCCAGTGGTTGAATGATAAGCGAGCTCTCTCGCCTTGTAACCGGAAAGTACCGGGTGCGTACTGATGAAGAGACCCAAACTAGGACGAAACAGGTGTCCAGTACTCCCAGGTTTTCAAATTGTTCTCTTACCGATGTCAGCTCATGATGAAATCCTGAAACCAATCAAATCCTAGCAAATCGACACTTGAATTGCAAAAGTGTGTGAAAAGAGTTACAGCAAAAAAAGTGAAACCAGTAATTCATCAATAAATTATGCTTATATAAGAGGAAAGAGAGAAAGAGATAGGGAGAGGGAGTTAATATACATCAAGGAAAAATGAACGTATCCATGAGGTTGATAGATAACAAATGAAAATTAATAAACAACATATTTGAAGATATCAAATTCACCACGAGAGTAGAAGAATTAGATAACAAAATCCCATTTTTAGATGTCTTATTCAGGAGAATCAACACAGGAGATTTAGAAACACAAGTATATAGAAAATCAACGCACACAGATCAAATACTCAACTATACTAGAGATAATCCAATTACTCACAAACGAAACTGTGTGCAGACATTGTTCAAAAGAGTTCAAAAATGCTGTAGCACTCCAGCGTTGAAAAGAAGGGAAGAAAAGTACGTACAAACGGTCTTCAAAAAGAATGGATATCCTGACAATTTCATTAAAAAGTGTTTGAAATCAAGTCACAACACCAACAAGGAACCATCATCAAAGACCACAAAAAAAATTCATTCTACCATACATGAAAAATATCTCTTAAATAACAGCTAGAATACTGAAACCGTTTCATATATAGATATAGCACACAAGCCAGTCAAATCACTTAATTCGATATTATGCAAACCGATAGATCCAACAGAAAAAGGGGATAAAATTACTACCATTTACAAAATAAAAACTGTAACAGGCATTACATCGGGCGAAGTGGGCGTCCCCTTTGAATTAGAATCCAAAAACACAAATCAGCCGTGAAAAGACACGATATGTATTCTTTAGTATCAATCCATATAGACAATTATGGACATCAATTTGATTGGGATAATGTCGAAATCTTAGACAGAGGAAACACCAAAAGTGCCAGGGAATTCCTGGAAGCCTGGCACTTAAGCGAAAATGCAATTAACAAACACGTTAATATGGACGAAATATACCAACTAATAAAAAGTAAATCATGTGACGAAAAGGTTTAAAATCCAAGTCAATAGAAAATGATTAATACATACGTAAAGATGGTTACCAGGAGACGCAATTATATCACTCATGAAGAAATTTAAATCACTTCACTTTATGCTAAATATTGCGCTGAAGATGTTGTCCAGCAGGGGGACGACAAAAGCTCCGCAACCGAACCAACCAGCTCAGAGAGCACTATCGATTGCAAATCATCCACCTGAACTACAAATCTTCTCCGTTATATGTGTGTAAATCGGTAAACACAATAGGATGAAAATAAGACCAAACGGTTAAGCGAAGAGATTCTTCTCGTCACATTTATTCACCTAACTATACAATCGTTATTATAGGCGTGTGTACATTCAGACTATGCAAATAGCCCAAGAAGTAAGCCTAAAAAGACAGAGAAGGTTGAGCGTGAAGTTAGCGACCCCAATCATAAAAAACAATGCCACCCATACCGAAACTTCAAAAGCTTCAAGCTCTCTATTCTGTCCAGAATGCAAAGAAGTGAATAAAAGACAGAACGAAAACTGCTAATTGACATCAAATGAAATTTATGGAAATTAACCAAAATATACTGAACAACAATCACAATACGCTTAAACCTATGGTTAAGTACGCTCAAAAATTTGGTCTGCATGTGACATTGGTTAGTGAGAAGAAATAATAAATAGTATATTGTGTAACTTGTTCCCCATGCTAACCAGGTCTGTGACAACTTCAAAGACATTCAGTAAAATCCTCAGGTCTCCCCAGAAACCTGAAGCCACAGTCATTTCATCGACCAACATAGGCAGCAGTTTCAATCGTAATGGTTTAAAGAAATATATCTGTTAGCAGAAAGTTGGTTCGAATAAATGCATAAACTGACCTGGGAACATAAGAAACCTGCAATGAAACTTTAACTTTTACGAAACAAACCGGTTTTGTTACATAGTTGGAGGCAATCGGCCACAGGAAGCCTTGACCAGACCTAGGTTTCGTACTAGTTAGCACTCACTAGTCAGCAAGGTTTATATGCTACCTTGAAGGAACTCATATCCCTTCTGTCTTTAGTCAGAGACGTTACCACTGAGCTACTCGGACTCGCGACTGACCTCCTGTAGGAATGTAGTGGGTATTTTCATTGGACACTAGCTACTAGCACGAAACCTAGGTCTGGTCAAGGCTTCCTACCGATTGCCTCCAACTATCTAATATCATCAAATCATTGGGCCCCGTGATGGCGAGCTACCCAGTGGTTCGGTGGCCACATTGCAAACCCGACTGATAGAATCCAATCTGCATCAAGGAAAAGACTAGACAGGTCACACTAGTTACTAGTGTCCAATGAAAAAATTCCGGTTGTGTTTCCATTGCCTTCATTTTATGCCCTTCATAATGGTTTACAATTTTCCTCGTTATTCTTGTTTGCAGCAGTATCCATGGCTTGTAAATTCCAGATCCTTACAGATGACCTTACAAAACACATTACTTACAAATTCTTATCAGTAGCACAACCGCATAGGAATATACTGGAGTAAATGAATTAAATTAATAAATGCTTTGCAACCTGTTACACAAACTGTGTAAACCAGTCTTTGGATGAATCCTGCTAAAAGCTACACATTTGCGTGATATAGTGTCAGTGATTCATCGATTACCAAACGATGCACTCCTAGATCTTACTCAGCATGTAGTAGGATAGGGAAAGATGGAAAGTTAAGTGTGAGGCTTGCAACCCCACCCCGCGGAAACAATACTATTGCAGAATTTGAAAAAGCTTCTGACTCTATAATCTACTTGCAATGCAAGGAATAAAGAAAAAACACTGCATATCTGATATTTGATTTAAATTAGTACATAAGCCGCATCATCCTAGAGAGAATCAAACAAGCTCTGGATGAAACACTTCGACCGGAACAAGCTGGATTCAGGAGAAACAAGTCATGTGCTGATCAAATCGCCACACTGCGGATCATCATTGAACAAGGCTTGGAATGGCAGTCAGCTCTCTATCTCAACTTCATCGACTTTGAAAAGGCCTTTGACAGCGTCGATCGAGAGGTGCTTTGACAACTACCTCGCTACTACGGGGTGCCACCGACAATTAAACATCTCATCCGACAGTTGTACGACAATGCTGCATGCCAAGTAATCCACAACGGGAAACTTACGGAATCCTTCGAAGTGAGGACAGAAGTAAGACAAGCTGGCTGCCTACTATCGCCAATGATTTTCTTGATTGCAGTAGACTGGATAATGCGACAAACAGTGGGCAATGAGGAAACAGGCATAAAATGGACACACACAAAAAACGTGGGGGATCTGGACTTCGCCGATGATATGTCGCTGATTTCCCAAAAACTGGAAGATATGCAAGTGAAGAGCAACAAGTTGGCAGAAGAAGCATCAAAGATAGGACTCCAGGTGAACCTAGAGAAAATAGAGGTGATGAAGATTCCTGGCCGACAGCAACAGCAACAACAACAGACAACAACCACCATAAATGGGAGGAATCTGAAAGGAGCAACCTTCTTTACCTACCTACCTACCTGGGAAGCATCGTTTCAACTACAGGCGGAACTGACGAGGATATCAAACCAAGAATCGGAAAAGCAAAACAAGCTTTCACTACTCTCAAGTCTGTGTGGAGGTCAACAGCACTCAGCATTAAAAATAAGATCCGGATTTTCAACTCCAATGTGAAGTCACTCAGTGCTACTATACGGATCAGAGACTTGGCGCGTCATAAAGAGCATCTCAAACAAACTACAGACCTTCATTAACAGATGTCTTCGCTCAATACCACTCAAGATCAGATGGCCAGAAAGGATCAGCAACAGAGATCTCTGGCAATGAGCGAACCAACCCAGCAGGAACCGATTGTGCAACAAACAGGCACTAAGAAATGGAGATGGATTGGCCATACCCTAAGGAAACCATCAATTGACATCACTAGACAAGCCATTGCTCGAGTTGAACCAGAAAGGGAAGCGGCGAGTTGGTGGTCAGTACAAGGGTGACTTGGAGGAGGTCATGTGGAGAGGAGATGAAAACGTGTGGGCAGACTTGGAGCCAGGTGAAGACTGTAGCAGAGAACCGAGCACAATGGAGACGTGTGGCTGAGGCCCTATGTTCCTCTAGGAATTAAAGGAAATAATAATAATAATGCTAGTAGTAATAATTTGCAGATCATTTTTCACTGATTTCAATTTCATCATCTCTATTGACCTGATTTAATCACCTATTTAAATTGTATTTCTTTTCAGATTTTATCGATCAATTGAAAGTCAACCAGAACAACAACCATGGGGTAGGAAAGCAATTCCAATGGTCAGTGATTTGGTAAGTAGAAAATGAATATTCACTATTGAATTAAGTACACTATGCATTAATATATGTCGATGGGAATTGTGTGAATTCATCAGTTAGATAATTCGTTAGAGACCTTTTGAGCAGAATACCATCAATGGTATACATCAAGCCACCAGTTAGTAATAAAACTTTTATCCACTAGCCTATTGTTGCACCTTCTTCTTGAAAGTCGAAGGTACTAGACTGTCAAGTGTTATACATAAAATAAAATTTATTATCGAGTTTTGATTTTCAGGGATTCTATTGATTACAGATTTGATCAGGGGCTGACATCAGTTAGAGAAACAATTGAAAATGAATATGAAGCCTAGACTACACTGTCTAGTCCCATATCCATCCGTTAAACAGGATGCAGAACAATACCTCAAAATATAATTCATTATTTTTTACTTTGATTTATACAGAATACTTGATATTTTCAGCATATAAATGATGTTCCCCTCTTCATGTCTTTCTCAGACTCTTGGCAGATGTTACAGATTGAGCAGCTTTTTTTAATTCACAGCTTGTTTTTGTCTCTACATTATTCCCTGTTTTCTCTCTTGATGAATTTTTTTTTGAAAACTGTCTCTCAGATATTTGGAATTTGGAAAAGTAATCGTTTTTGTACGTTTGTTGAAGGAGATAAACTGGTGGAGTAAACCGACATACATATTTATATATCGTCAACACTGTAAACTAGTATTATTTATTTTATTTTGTTCCCTTACGTTCCCACTGGAACATCGGGCTTCAAGCTAGAGCTTTAGAGTTTCGGTAGCGGTTGGTTTTATTTTTGCGAGGTGGGGTTGCTAGCCTCACCCTCAATCTTCCCTTTTTACCGGAGTTATTATCTATTTAGAGAGGTTTAGGAGTTCATCAAGTGAAAAGTACTCGAGTATTTGACCAATTTTGCATAGATAGGTTGTATTTGTCTGGACTGGTTTATGAATGACGAAATTCCTGCGAATCAAAAGGGGACTCACCTGTATTCTAAATTTTCCGTTATTCGTTGTATAGCGCTTACCATTCTGGACTTTGAATCCAGCAATCCGAGTTCAAGTCTCGGCAAGGCCTTCTCCATCCACTAGGTGCTTTTGTGCGTCGGTGGCACAGTGGTTGGGACGCTCGCCAACCATGCACATGATCCGTGGTTCGATCCCCGGCCACTGACGCACTACTTTAACTTCGCTAAGCCAAAAATAAAGCTGGTAAAGAGGAGAGATTGGGCATGAGGCTAGCAACCCCATCCTGTAAAAATGAACACCACTGCTACCGAAACTTCAAGCCTCTAGCTTGAAGCCCTATATTCCACTGGGAACGTGAAGGAATAAAAAATAAAAATAACTATCAAGACTCATCCTCTCTTCCGTTAGGCTTGAGTTTACTGTCCAGCAGTGTGTTATGTTTTCTGTATCAACAAAAACTACCTACAGTTCAGACAAATGTCTTGCAAGAGAACTTTAAGTCTCTGGGGTTCACTAGAATGTATAGAATCGAACGAATAGATGTACAATCCTAGGTGAAAAGTTCCTGAATCCATAAACTTACACATCGACCAATAGCTCATTCACTTCAAAGAAAAGGGTTATCATCTATCGGCAGTCTATGAAGCCATTACCTAATATTTTGACCTCATCTCGTTCTGATCCACATATATTTAAAAAAATTGAGGACATTATTCAGCAGTGTTACAAATTCAGTTATTCTCATCTCTGTTACTGTAATGTCATTTATTTAGTTGTTTCATTTTCTCCTCTTACCATTTTCTTTTGGATGGAGTTATGAAAAAACAAAAAGTAGTAGCAAAGAAGTCCTTTTATCTTCACAGTGAATCATTTACGGAAGTTGTAAAATCGTGTTTGCTCATATTCCATAGATGATTCATTATTGAACAGACAAATGCCGTTAATTATGTCATGGAAATTTGTCTCACCTTATAAGACCAGTAGTGTAATAAGGTGAAGATTAAGCAGTGGAAGCTGGAACAGTGTATTAAATGTAAGATTGGTCGGAAGATTTCATCATGAGCTAACATCAGCTAGGGAACCATTGAAAACCTCCAGGGAGTACTGAACAGCCAGCTGTTTCATCCTAATCTCTTGGGTCTATAGCAGCACCCACTCACAGACAGGGTTTGAACCCAGGATCTTCTGGTTACAAGACGAGCGAGCTCGTAGACCATTAAGTCACTGGGACATTGACCAGTCCATGAATTCCAACTCCTTCCAGGTCATGACACACCGCGACCACTTCGCAATGTGTTCTTCGATGAGTTACTGCCTCACCTTCAACTTGCTGCACCCTACTGGTCACGGCTTCCCACTAGAACCCCAGGTTAACTGCTTGAATAGGGCCAGTTGCTAGTGAGCATCAAATTTATTTTCAAGTATTGTTTTAGTGGGTATCATTGTTTCAGGTTTTCCAATGGTTCTCTAAAGGATGTCAGCTCATGATAAAATCCTACAACCAATCAAACAAAATCCCTAAAAAACCAATACTTGTTAAATGCAAGGATCAACTTATCGGCTTCAGTGTACAAAAAAGAACATACAAGTGAAAAAGACGGTAAATCGTTTCAATTGAATGAAATCCATACAAGGAAAGAAAAGATTTTTAATTACCAAAAGGAAACGACTGAGTTAAAATAAAGAAGGCGAAGTATTTACAACATAATGATGGGAGATGAATGCGTTTACGTAATTTCTTTGTAGACAGACATCACGCTGAGTCCAGAAATACCATGGATTTGGCTGTGAGCAGATGATTTCCTTGTGCCCATTCACCTCAAGGTTCACTGAGAGAATTTTCCTGAGGACTGTTTGGGATTCTGGTGATTGTCGCTTCTCCATTCATTATATTGCCATTATTTTCAATTTAATATGAAATTTCAACAATTAAATAAACATAGGCATCATAGTGACAAAGAAAGATGTTTGCAGCCAGCCAGCAAGCCAGCAGCCTGTTTTAACCACTGGGCTACGCGAATTTCCATCCGACAAAATGCATCTTATTTTCTTTAGTTCTCCTTGTTAAAATCATTCAATTATCTCCATGGGTCACCAAAATGTACTCAAACACATTTTTAATTCGTTAGCAACCTAGTGTTGCTCAATTCTGGGGGAGATGGCTGTTTTACTTGTAACTCCTTGATGGCGAAAAAATATTATGCCATAAACGTCTCTGAAAATGGTGCATATTTTGTAAACTTATTGCGCATAACATGCCGATTATTATCATTATTATAGTAAACTTGAGTAATATTAAAACAGTCCATTATGGAAAATTCTTCCAGACACTACACTACACTAGAGGCAGACTCAGACTGTCAGTTATCTTTGCTTTTTTATTCATTAGGCGGATAAATTAGTCTCAGTAGCATAGAACAGAGTTGATTAGTTACTGATAACACTTAATAACCACTTGAAAGAAAAATGAAACAAAATTGGTTTTTAATATTTCCGACAAGAATAATTATCATTTTAACTTGCTTATAATAATTACTCCATTTTTTCCTTCCTTGTATATGCTAACGCTTACTTTTATGTTGTTTTTTTTTAACTTTTTGACAAATTACAATAGGTGTTACGTGTAAGTTGAAATCAATGTGTGATTTTGCATTTCTAAATGTGTGTTGTATGACAGCTGACTGCTGGTGTTAGTGCATTTTATTTGATCATTTCTTTCTCGGTGTTGAATGAACCCGCTTAAATGCTAGAAAATATATTATTTTTCAAGATCATTGTTGCAGATTTTCACCAATAGCTTCCCTCCCTTTATGATACCGTGCGTCGCTGGCAGAGCGGCTAGGACTCTCGCCGACCATGCACATGGTCTGGGGATTGATCTCCTGCCGACTCACACCTGATATCAATGGTTGGCTTGCAAAATTTGGGCTTCCAATATCAGATACTGAAAATTCCATGCTTCTACCAAAAGTACTGTGTAGAATCAAGCTGTAATCAAAATTAAAAAAATTAATGAAAAATTATATACTTCAGGTCATATAGTTGGAAAGGATAAACAACACAAAAAACCCACCAAGAACCTTATTTGCCCAGCAAATATACAAAATGAGGCGGGAAATGAAACAGACATAAGGTGAACAGACATTCAATTGAAATCACACGACACGTTGAAGAGCTGGAGAGTGATATAGAGTAGATCACATGATGATGAAGGAGAAAATGAGAGCTTGTTGCCAATTATCGAACCAGGTTAAAAGAAAAGACAGTAGGGAACAGAGTGAAGTGGAGATGTGCTACTGATTTGAAGCCTGAAGCTCCTCTAGGAACTCAAGGGGCGAATAGTATTAAAACTTTAATACATAAATTCCTTTTTATAAATTTGAGCAGAGAAAGAACACACATTAATGCAGAATTACATCGATGCATTTTATTTCATTGGTCCTCATCAGCTGCACGCAAACTATAATCTTTAATAAATAAAAGTCAGTGTAAAATTTAAGATACTTTTGTCACCAACAAGCATATTATAAGAGTGTCATAATGAGATAAAACATCAGGATGACAGGGTAGCTGAAGACAGGAGTTTCTAGAAAATTAATCGGCAAGTTTATTGTTGGGGTGGTAACAAAAATTAGAAACATTTACGTAGTTAGAGGAGAACCAAATTCGGTGTACAAGAAGTTAGATAAGGAGATGATGATGTAATATCATAAGGTCAAGAAATTTCGGTTTTAGAAGTCAAACAGAAAAAACAGCAAGGAGCGGACGGGTTGAAAGATAAACTAATGAAATTAGAAAGCAACCAGTTACCGAAGGGATGAGTCACCAGGGTAACTGAAGTCCAACGACACATTCCTTTTGGACACATTGGTCAGGTTGCAACCGTTTTATTGCGATAGCCTCAGCAAACGGAAGAAGACTTAAGCTATTGTGTCTGTGTGTTAATTATTTTGAATGATCTCAGAGCGTCTACTCGGTGTTTGATGTCTATCAGGTGTCTGGTAATTGAAGAGCTTTAACCGAGAGCTCCTTGGCACTTGTTCGAAGGGCCTACGTCAGATTCTTCGAACTTGTCCGAATAATTATTATCAACCAGAGTTTGTGTCAAAATTCTTTCTTCATCATCAAGTATGTCTTCACTGAATATTCGTTGGATTCTACTGAAGAGGCACTTTACTAAGGCTCTGTTGTACCGAACAAGGCAGAAACCGTGATAACTAATATACTTCCCTGTCCACGTAGGTTTTCTATAAATAGATCCATCAAGCTGTCGACTAAGCAATATGTCTAGGAAAGATAAACAGTTGTCTTTCTCTTCTACAGATGTAAGTGATATGCTATTCCGAACTTCATTCATTTGATTTAAAATTGAGGTGACAGAACAAGGCTTGTCACTTATGATTACAATGTTATCGACATATCTTCTATAGAGCGGTACATTTTCGATTAAATCTTCTGATAAACTCTATGCACGGCAAATAGATATCTGCTAAAAGAGGCCATAACGGACTTACCATAGCAGCACCATCAACCTGACGGAATCATTCGTCTTCAAATGTGAGCCAAACATTGGTAGTACATAGAAGTAATAAATCTTTGAAATCAGGTATAGGAAACGGAATTAGAAAATTATGTGTGGAAATGTAGTCACAAAACATGTCAGTTGTTTTAACTAAAGGTGCATTCTGTCTGTCTGGATTCGGCATAGAACTTGGCACCGAGGTGCAGCGGTTCGAGTTGCCACGTTCCAAATAGCACACAAAGGTAGACAAGAAAATGAGTGGAGAGAATCAATAAAGTTTTGACAAGTATAAGAGTGAAACAGAATGAGTAATGGTAGAAAGGAATATGAAAGATTACAGAGACTGAATACATCTGCGTAAGCCATTGACAACGATTTTGAGCCATGTCGCCTATTGTCTCCAGCCATTGATTCTTAAAATCCCGATGGCCCCAACTTGGAAGTCTGCATCTCCCTACCTGACTCAGTTTAACTGTCAGGGATTTCATGGATTGATTGATGGCATGTTTTTGTTTGGCCACCACTTACTCTTTTCCAACCTGCACCTACATCAGCTAGTAATGCCCGTCAGGAGGGGGAGGCGATGGTTAGGCATGCGAAGCACGTGACCTAGCCATCTCAATCTATGTAACTTTATAGCCTCTTCGACTGATTTTCCCTCTTTGCGCAACACTCTACGCCTAATGTCAATGTTGGTGAATAAAGAGTTCACACAAAAAGAATACATATTTTTATTCCTAATATTAATACTATCAAGGTAATTAGTCAGTTAAAATGTATCTTTTAATACGTACTTACAGAATTGTCTTTCTACTGGTTGCAATAATTCCACTAACCATTGAGCAAGTTTATGTATTGATAATTAACACATTGACAATATATAGAACGTAGAGGATTACTGGGTTTATGTGTTTTGGGTAAACCAAACATACATCCTTAGTAAATAAAATGTGTTTTTTTCATATATCCAATTACGGCTTATCTTATATTACATAAAAAAACATTCAGAACATTGAGTCAATGCCTTACACGACAAACACAGTGACTGACAATCTGTTCCTCTCCTTTTAATTCACTGAGATTAGATTTTTTTTACAGGCGTAAACATATCCAGATAGCTAGTGAAGGGATAAGCAAATAGTTCATTTTTACTCACTGATATAAAAGCTGGTCAATAATGCTGCAAATCTCGTATCTCAGTAAGTAAATTGCAAAACTAGTGATTCGTAGACGACTGATTCAAATCCTGACGCGCAAAAGTATTTTATTTCACCTTCAGCCCTCCCTTCATTACATCACTGATTGTCCACCAGTCTACAGCTATCCTAGTCTTACGATCAAATGCTATTTAGTCATTGAAACTTGAATCTATGCCTGGTTTTAAGCTGATGTGTAGTTGTGAATTTTTGTTACAATAATTTTATTTTTCAGACAATGGCTCAAAAACGCACGCTGACATCACTGTCATCAAGTTTAGCCAGTTGGACACTGACAGATCAAGAACTAGTGAGTTTTAAGAACAAATTTACGAAATATATATTTTTTTCTAGTATCAAAGCTATGACCGTCTCCATTGAAATTATCTTAAATTAATCGCAAATACAGATAGGTCTCTGTTCAAATGTTTATTGTGTAAGTGCAGATTGACTAATACTGTTGTCAAAACTACTGAAACCGTCAAACAGAAGGCATTGCTATGGGATCACTTGTATCTCCGCTAGTCGCCAATCTGTTTATGCACTCATTGAAAACAAATGCAATTATGAGATGCCCTAGTCCTCCAAAGATGTGGTTAAGATACGTGGATGATACCTTTGTCATAATCAAACGTAGTTTGTTAAATGAACCTTTTCACTTAATGAACAATATGTCAGAAACTATCAAGTTTTCCAAAAAGGTTGAATCCGATGAGAACGAGTTGGCGTTCCTGGACTGTTTGGTAACAAGAAAACTAGATGGTTAATTTAAAATAAATATTTTCAGAAAGCTGACAAATTCGGATCGATACCTAGATTACTATTCAGCTCACCCATTTACCACCGAAGTAACTGTGGCCAAGAATCTGATTAACAGAGCCAAAGGTCTAGTTACTGAGGAGGAAGACATTAGCAAGGAACTAAAGTTGATTCAATCCACTCTTGAATCAAATAATTATCCTAAAGCTTTCATAAAAAGATATTTGAAATGTGAAGACAAGGATGAATCGATGATGCTAAGAATTGGGTCAGTACAGCGGTGATTCCTTACCGCAAAGAAACATCTGATGAGATAAAGCGAATCCTTAACGATCATAACATAAGAGTGTATTTTCGTGCAACTAACACCTTACGCTCATTACTGGTTAAGGTTAAGGATAAAATAGAACAAGGAAACCAGCAGAATTGTGTATACCAGATCAATTGTGAGTATTGTAACGCCGTATATGTAGAAGAAACTTCCATACAGGTTAATATAAGAGTGAAAGACCATAAACAATGTCTAAAGGTGGTTCCAAAGACCTCTGCAGACTTGAAGAAGCTAGAAAACAACTCAGCGATTGCACTGCATTCGGTAGAAACGGGATATAAAGTCGACTTTGATAGGACTAAGGTTCTACAGAAGGGTTTTGGTTCATATAAAGAAAACCTGACTGAAGAACCCTACATATATGGGTGAATCCCAACAGTTTGAACAGACGTGAAGGTGTGATGTTAGCTGATGCATGGCAAATCCTGACTAATAAATAAAATTGGATATGTATCAACAATAGTCATACTTGGTCAAAATCCCCGATTCTCTAACAAATGTTTTATGGCTGTTCACACACATACACACCATTGTATACTGCATATACACATATATTTTTAACAAAAGTAGACTAATTTTGAAAGTCTGAGGTCAAATTTTGATCACAGTTCATACAATTTTTGTTTATTATACCTGTTGATACCTGTTTCATGATTCATATGACAGGACAAACAATTAAAAACAAGAGATGTTCCTTTTATATATAAACCTCTGTTATGTTAATTTCGATTAATTTCCCTGAAGAAGTTCGGACCAGATTGCCGAACGAAACGTTGGAACTAATCATTTCAATTTCGCTGAGATTTCACAGATATAATTCTTTTACAAATGTTTATTAATAGACTTATTAATATATGTGTAAAACTTGGACACTGTGGTAGTAAGTTATTCCATATTAGTTTGTTTATTAGATATATCACTCACAGTGAGTGAAACGGTATTATTTACTGGATGACGTTCCGAACACAGTTGTCTATTGTTCATCAGGTATAATCACACGACTTCGAAGCTTGAGTTTTATAATTTTATTTGTTCTCTCATATTTGTCGTCGTAGGTGTAGTATAATTTTCCAGATGTCTTGGACAGGTATTGGATCGTTCCTACTGCACGTGTTTGCAGTTGATTCGAAAATAACAAAGCTTCTGTTATTAATCTCTTTTGATTTGTTTTCGTTAGACCAAAATGCCAAGTTTCTGTTAGCATGTTGACTGTTAGTACAGACAATGAAAAGATGCCTTGAGATTTATATAATGCGCTTCGGCCTCTGAAATGATGTCTGCTAGGTTCAAGTTCCAGTGGGGAAGTAGATACATCCAGACGACGAATCATCAATGTGAAGAAATGCATGCAAAATCGTGTTTTTAAATCAAAGTGATGAAAACAGTATAGAAAAATCATCATCAAAGTAGTAGAGCAATGCATGAGGGCAATGAATAAATGAATGACAACAATACACTGCAGTTTAAATTGTCAAAACGTATTTAAATGCATATGCCTAATTTGCACGAATTACGATGCTGGCTTTCAGGCTGTGTGACAAGTAATTCATAATATCTCAACTGAACTAGTCTCGTAACTTACTTTAGGAGCTCAATATCATCAATCGGTCTGTGATATAATTGGTTTTCAAGTATTGGTTTTGTTGTTTGACTGGTTCGGGGGTTTCATCATTAGCTGACATCATTTAGAGAACCATTGAAAACCATTCTGCGAGTACTAGACAGCTGTTTCATCCTAGTTTGGCACCGACTCTTCATCAATACGCATCCACCGACAGGGTTCCTACCCAGGACCTTCTGACTACAAGGGGAGCTCATATAATATTAGTACACAATTAGGAAATATCCTGAGTCATATGTCTGCTAAATGTCGTGGAGTGTGTGCAGGAACTCTATTCAACCAGTCCTCAAAACATTTCCTTTTATTTCACAAACTATTGTCAGTTAAATAACTATCTATAACCAAGGTGCATTGTTGAGTCATTCTGTTGTAATGCGGAAGCCTCTAATAGGCTTTGTTCAAACTAGAGTGAAACGCCATTTTTGCTTTATTTTCAATGATTACCTCGATGATAAGAGTTTTTAACATAAGCCAGGACTGTAGAGCGTATTTTAATCCCCATGACCTCCTGTATCACTGTTGATTTTTGTGTGTTTTTATTCGCCAACACATTTTTAGAAAATGCATGTCTATCGAAAAGCCTTACAAGCCTTAGCCTATCCAATATCAAGTAATACACCGCATAACTTTCAGTTATTCAGTGCAACTAGCCCAACTTATTGTTATGAATGTGAAGGTCTCCTCTGGGGTGTAGCTAGACAAGGTCTGCGGTGTACAGAGTGTGGTGTCAAGTGTCATGACAAGTGTAAACGATTACTGAATGCAGACTGTCTACAGCGTAAGTGAATTTCATTGTTTTATTTCCTGCGTTTTGTTTTTATTAATGCCAATAATAATAATTTTGCTACTGAATAGTTGAGTGGTGTGTGACAGCCAAAAACAATAAAGTTAGTCCTAGTATCCCTAATAGTATAGCATAGCTTCAAAGGATAGTGATTTCCTCATTGGTATTTCAGCATATTTCATAGAGAAACTTTTCTGCCTCATTAGGGTATTTCTATATGGTTAGATCAGTGTACTAAATAATACTGCGAATATTGTACTGTACTGATACTGTTAAAACGATTCTATCAAAGTCAATTTTTTTTAAGTAGCTTAAAAATCCCATTGAGTTATATGAAAAAGAGAAGACGTTCAGCGAAGGGACTCTTCGCGGCGAATTCATTCACATAGCTGTATAATCGCATTTATGTACAATTATTTGTGTGTATGTGCATGAAGCTTGTCAAGTTTAGATAATTAATCAGGTAAAACAAGAATGATCTAATATAGAAACAAGGCTAATTAGACAACAACTAAAGCAAGACTGAGTTAGTAAGTTAGATAACGTAATACAATTGCTTAAAATGTTTCAACTTTTGTCAAGATAGCAACAGAGGTAATTACAGGTAGAGAGAAACTAAGTAGAGGTGGGGTGGAGAATAACGCCAGTGAAATTAGGACTAAAATTGAGCAAACAAATTGGATGACGTAACATAAATGACTAGAAATTGACCGTTGGTCAAGTCAGTAACAGTGGTAGTGAGGTGCAGAAATTAAAGTGAGTCGGGGTAGAGAACAAGAAGGTTGAAAATGTAAAATATTACAGTTGAAAAGACAAAATAATACGAACGAAGAGACAGAAAGAAAGAAATAGAATTTACCTGTCGGGTATTAAGATAGATTACATCCATTGCAAGTGTAGTGATTGAACGAACTTCTTCTGTATGTATGTTCAGGACTTAGCCAGTGAATTGCCATTGCCATCGCTTTTGCAGTTTGAAGAAGTTTGATTTGCACACGTTTAGGAAGACTGCTTCGTATTCGACTTCGAAGTTTGTTCTAAAATAGAGCTGCTGAGGCATGTTTTTCTCCTTTGTAAAACCATGCTGGTAAGTGTTCGGTGATACATTTGGAAGGTGAACAATGGGTATGGCATACATACCTGGCTCCACACGAGCAGGTGAATTGGTAGATACACACTGATGAGACCAGCAATTTTTTCATATCACTATTATGCCAACGTATATGAAACTCAGATCTAAGACATCAAATGTCTCTTTTTATTAACTGATTTACTGTTATTTTTATGTAACTTTGTATTCTTCAAACAAACATAATTAGTTTCATAATTACATAAGTTTATTTTCTTATGATTATGAGGAATAAATTGTGTTCGAGATTTAAACCAGTTATTTATAGTTTATCATAATGTGTAGTCAAATAAATTTGTCTGATATGGAATCATATTCTGCTTCTACAATAACCTTGATAAGTTTAATTAATTCCCTGTCGTTTTATAACAACAATTTCAGAATCCCACTAATGGTAACCATTTTTTTTGTAGTTATCGCATTCTCTCAGTTGTGTGACCTGATTACAAGACTTTCGTTGTCTTTCTAGAGGAAATCTTCAGTTCTAACTTTAGAACAAAGTGAGATTTAAGAAATAACTAGTAGATAACTTAGCAATCTGGTTGTCGTTAACTGAAGGTCAAGGTGAGAAAGATTCTTAATGGAGTGGTCGGTTCGCACGGCTGAAATACCTGTCTGGTACTCTTTTGGTTTTTTCTGTGATAATCTGACGGATTTTATTTCATGGCCAGCCTTGTAATGATGATACTAGATGGTTGGAGGCAATCGGCCACAGACCAGACCTAGGTTTCGTGCTTGTTGGCACTCACCAGTCAGTCAGCAAGGCGTATCTGCATCGGCCTTGAAGGAGCACATGTCCCTTCTGAGATTCGAACCGGCGTCACTCAGTGCTGCAGTCAGAAACGTTATTATTGAGCTATTTGGGCTAGCGATTGATCTCCTGTAGGATTGTATTGGATATTTTTGATTGGACATTAGTTACTAGTGTGATGTGTCTAGTCCCCTCTTTGGTGCAGACTGAATTCTGTCAGTCATGGTATACATTGATTTGATGATATCAGATGATGGCAAGCTACCTAGAATGCTGGCCACATTGCAAACCTGACTGATAGAATTCAGTTTGCACCGAAGGAAGGACTAGACACACATTACACTAGTGACTGGCTAGTGTCCAATCAAAAACTTGTATTGAGGCATTGAATAACCGAACAACTTCAAATATGCAAATATATAAACTATCAGTCGGGTGACTTGACACTTTTTGCCTCATTTTAGTATATGTGGACAACTGTGCAAAAAAAGTTAGTCTCTTAAATGTAAACATTAAAAAAGAACATCAGAGGACTCATTAAAGCCTGGTACACTGATCAAGCTACAACAAAGAGAATAATTGATATAATATATAAAATTATTAGTTAATAAATAACAAGTGACCCAGTGAATAAATTTAATACGAGGTAATAACAAGATTAATGACAATACAAGAGAACACAAAGACAAGGAAACCATACTTATGGTCGTAAAGAATGACATTTATTGACGTGTAAAGAATTCTGGAAGTCAGCCCACTTCATATTGAAGACATCACCTAGAAAAAAGTATGACAGCAGCTTAAATTTCATTTAGGTGAGCTGAAGCTTTTGTTCACTAGAAGCCAAGTAACTACCGATGATCAGAAATCCTGTGATGATAACAGAAGTCTTAAATGCCATACAGTTACTGAAAGCCGAAAAAGCAGCACGATCAGATGGGGTTTCCCCAGAAGCACTGGAAAACGACCCAGAGACATCGGCAGATATTCTGTCCCCAATATTGAAAAAGGCATCGAAGGAAGGAAAGATACACAGTGACTGAAAGAAGGGTTGTCTTTTCAGACTCTCAAATTAGAATGACTTAAGCCTTTACAAGAAATGACATAGATCACACTCCTATCCATTCCAAGTAAAGTACTAACCTACATCACTCTGTAGACACTACAAGATGCTCTAGATTCAGAAATCCCTCCTCCTCCCTCGGGGAATAACCTCAACACTAGAGAGCGCAGTACCATAAAGACTTAAAAGCCTTATTCAACAGACGTATGATGATGAAACATTCTAAACAGTTCACAATGAAAAGCTCAAAGAAGTCTCTGAAATGAAGACAGAAGTAAAACAATATAGACTACTATCAACCTTGGTCGTTGTAGACTGGCTCTTGCAACAGACTGTGAGGATAGAGAGGACTGGTATATGCTGAACTCATAGAAAAAGGCCAAAAGACCTGGACTTCTGGAATGATATATGTCCAGTACCACCCGAATTCGGAGATCTACAGGCGAAAAAGGAACAAGTTAGCAGAAAACATAGTAAGAATATCACTTAAGGCGAATACTGAGACAACAGTGTTCAGGTGTCTTTGGAAAAAGAACCACTCAGTGTTGATATTGATGCATTTAGACGATGAGTCGTTAACTGGATGACACCTGATTTTAGTGTTCCACTGCCGGCCACCAAACAACTCAATGTTTCCGCCTAAAGCCAGTAGGAATATATATATATAGTGGTGGTGTATCTCACCCCGGATCACATGCGTGGTTGGCGAGCATATATATATGGCTAAATTAGCTTGAAGAAGTAAATTATTTTGTCATTTGTCCAAATTTCACTCTGATGCTAATTCTGACCTCAAAGGCAAAATTGATGCGAATAATTTTCAATGGTCTACGAGCTCGCCTTGTAACCAGAAGGTCCTGGGTTTAAAACCCGGCGGGTGCGTACTGACGAAGAGTCCCAAACTAGGAAGAAACAACTGGCTGTTCATTACTGCCTGGTGTGGTGGTTCTTTAAGTGATATCAACTCATAATGAAATCCTCCATGTAATGCGAATAAGTAAATAATACTATTTCACTGTGTGATATATATAATACACAAATTAATGTGGAGGCAAATAAGACCAGTAAGCATTTTAGGCTGGTTTATTAATGAAAAAAGGTAGCTAGCTGGAAAGATATGTGATACGTTGACGCATGATTTTGTCTCCGTGTTTGTGTACACACACACACAATCAATGTTTAAATATGCTTACTGTTTTGGGAAATATGACACTGGAATATTGTTAAGCAAGCACAACAACAAATGAACCCTGTGTAAACGGATGTTTACTAGTATAATTTATCGCCTTACACTCACAGCGCGTGTGTGTTTCTGTGTTTGTGAGAGAGGGAACTTTAGAAATGACGATTACTGACATATAGTAATTGCATACTAAAAAGAGAGTTTCTTCACATCTTTAAATACTTCGTAATGACAACTAGCCAAAGTAAAAAGTTCTGGATATTTGTCGAAATTAAGAACACAATATTCAGGGAAGAGACTCTTTTCAACGAATTTATTATCAAGCTGTTTTAAAAAAAAATTATATCCGGTAAGGGAATTAGATCAAAGGTGTTAATACATGAAATTAGAATAATAGTATGAAATGAAATTAAGATATTTGTGATTATAATCATAGTTAAATATCAAGTAATACATAAGGTGTATAGATGTTGGAAAAAGGTGCATAATTATAGGACTAGTAGACGAATATAAAATGTCACATGACATGGTGTGAAATCTGATAAGAAAGAATTCAACATTGTAAAAATGAAAAATTATAATTTTGGATTTAGAATGACAAGTGGGACAAGTGGAAACCATTCAGAGTGAGAACAGTAATAATAATAATAATAATAATAATAATAATAATAATAATAATAATAATAATCGTAGTAATAAGGGAAAAGTACATAGAATAACTAAATAAACAAAATAAATAAATGTCTATCCCTCTACGGCCAAGGCAGAAGTAGGGAGTGTACATACTTCTTTTGTACACAAATGTCTGGCTTAAGGTCATGAATTGCCAAGGCCTCCACTATCTTTAGAAGTTTGTAACGAAGAAAAC